CTTTATCATTAAAACAAAAGTTAGTAAAAGTATGTTTTTATTAATTTTTATTATTATTTTAATATATTTTTTAAAAATTTCAATGACATTTTCGTGAATCTCGTTATTAAAAAAAAAAAGTTTTTTACCAATTTTTGAGTATTGTTTTAGTAAATCCCTTTTCTCCCAATTTTTTTAAGAAATTATGACACTTTCCAATATTATTTTAGTAATTATCTCAAAATATAATGATAAGAGAGGTTGGTACAACTTTGTTATATATCTTGTTACCATTTATATTCATAGACTTCAATCAATATAAGCAGAAGAAATTTAAAGGTGCCGTAAAAAGAAAAGAAAAAAACACGAGACAAAAAATTAAGTTCAAAGGGGCACAAAGTACAATAATAATTACGTGTGTGTACGTGTATATATATTTCATACATCATCCGTAACAACTTTAAAACGGAATAAGATTCTTCATAGGAAAAAATGAAAGAGGATCGATCAAACGAAGATACTTATCTCTTAATACTAAAGACGACGCAATACAAAGTATTGCTCACGCGTTACAGTGATTTAAGAAATTTGATCAAGTTATTGCTTTTTAACATCATTTGATTTGAGATGTTTCGCATGGTAACTTTAAATATAAATTTATAAAAATAATGCCTTCTGTAAGAACTAGACGACATAAGAACTAGACGACATGAATAAAACAGTAAAAAAAATTAGGCCATATATGTTAATTTTTGTTAGATTTCTAATTTTTTTTTTTTTGGCTTGTGAGCAAATTAACCCTTGGTAAATCGTACAAACTTTATTTCTTGGATCATCTAATTTCATCTATTTCGAAACATCTGCAATATAGTAAAAAATAATCCACCACAATGCATGAAAGTTTTTCAAACAAAAAAATTACGAATGTCATTGGTTCATACATATCATCGTCTCTCTATAATATCCACTTTCCGTTGGATATATAAAACACTAAAAGTGGAAGTAGTGATATAATAATAAAAAAAGTACAAACTTAGCACACCACACTATAAGGGGTAAAACCTTGCAAAAGTTTCTTACTTGTGACCTAATTTAATCAGACTTTTGAGATTTTTGAATCTTCAGTAATTCCAGAATGGTTCAAGATCAACCGGACCGGCAGAGGAAGAAGACGGAACTTCTTGATGATCCAGTTGTTTTCTTCCAAATTCAAAATCCGTGGTGATCATCTCTTTAGAACTTCCGGTATTCTTGAAGCTTTGCCTTCTGTTATTCTCCATGATCATTGCTTGTAAAACCGATTGTTCTTGCGTAAGAATCGGATTCTCGGAAACGTTGAGAGATTGACGTTGGTATAGTGGAAGCCTCTGGAGAAAATCGGGTTGGATCGAGCTAAGGGAAGGGTTGTTGTTGTTGAAGCAATTGAGTATTGTTCCTCTGTTTTCAGTTTGGTTGGAGAAGCAGTGCACGTAAATCGGTTCGGTCTTGGTTTTATCATTGTATGGTGAAGTATCGGTTAAAGGTGGTAAATTGGAACCGGTTGCGTACGAACCGATTCGGATTAAAGCCGAAATCGGGATCTTCTTGCCTCCAGCAGTTTTATGAAATACCCTACATATCACCCATTCATTCTGCCAAAATGGAACCAAAACCTCAAAAACTATCAAACAAAAAGAAAATAAAACAGAGTAAGAAACAGAGCAAAGCTTTGATTTTGTTATTACCTTAGCGGTTTTGGGTAAGTTTTGGGCAGAGAGTTTCCCATCTAGCCTATACTCATGCATCACCCAATTTGTTTTCTGACCTTTTGGAGCTCTCCCTTTGTAAAAGACAAGTGTTTTCTTCATACCGACAAGCGATTTCCCTCGGAAAATCTCCTTATCTTTCCCGGTCGCCTTCCAATAGCCAGCTTGAGTTGCTCGGTTAGTCCGTAAACCGGTTGGATACTTTCTATCCCTCACACAGAAAAAGTACCATTCTTTCTCACCCATTTTTGCTTTATCTATTAAACAAAAACACCAAAAACAAGACCCCAACACATTAGACTTCAACAACTTTAGATTCAGACCAGGGATATGTTTTAAACAAATTTGGTTTGTTTGAACCTACAAGGTAACTCCCATGGCTCAGCTTTGTTCAAATCCACATCACCAATAGCTTTAGCCGAGAAATCGATATCGAGAACCTTCTTGTGTAGATAGTGGGTTATAAGTTCTTCATCTGTTGGATGAAACCTAAACCCAGGAGGCAAATCCATCTGCTCATCATCTTCCTTGTGAAACCCTCCAAAAGTTTCCATCTTTTTGTTTATCACCCAAGAAACCTTAAACCCTAAAAAAAAAAAAAAGCAACTACTTGATCCAAGAACAAAAATGAAAACCTTTATTTGATTGTTACTCAAATAGAGTTTTTGTTTAATCTATCGAGAAAGATTTGATCTTGGATATTTTCAAGAGATGGGTTTAGAGA